CGATTGATAAAAACTATAGGGAAAAGTCGATCTTATTGACGGCAAACCCTCACGAAACGTCGAATAACTGCGGAAACGCTCCGATCGTAATGCATAGGCAAAGTTGCGGCCACGCAATCCTGGACACGGTAAAACACTACTTCTCACACCATCCGTCAGATGAAAATGATGGAATTGTATTCGTCGATTTCTTTTTACCAAATGTTTCTGTTTGCGCACGTTTGAGCCACACATTTGCGAGAGATACTTGTGTATGGATTGTGCCACCAGTGGATAAGATGTCTGGAATGAAGGTTTTGGTCATAACTCTCGAGATAGAAGTTTGGATATTAGTCGTTGTGGCCTTTGTATTATTTGCTTTGTCGTGGTACGTTCTCAACAAATTTAAGAGGAGCATGGGTAGCATCGTTTTGGAAACCGTCAGTCTTACGCTGTTTAGCAGCACCAATCACATCCCAAGATCTACGATGGTAAGATTCTTAATCATGTGCTATAGCATATAAGTACAGTATACACATAATAATGTTTCTCAGTTGCTCTATTACATGGCTACATACGAGCTTGAAGATTGCTCTTTAACCTTTTTAGGGCATTTTTAAGAACTACAAAATTCAAAATGGTTAAAAAGAAATCTTTTTTGGATTTTTTAATGAATCTTTCTTGAATTTTTCAAATCTTTTTTGAACTCTTTTGAATTGTTCTGAATCACTAATCTTTTCAGCGCATTTTTAAGAATTACAAGATTCAAAGAGGTCGATGAATTATTTTATGGATGTTGTGGATCACCTGAATCTTTATTGAACTTTTTTGAATTTTTCTGAATCGCTTTATTCTTCTTGGCTCATTTAAGAAAAGGTTGAATAAATGCTTTTAGATTTATTGAACCACCTGAATCTTGTTTTAACTACCTGAATCATTCTTGAATTTTTTTAAATCTTTTTTGAATTGTTCTGAATCACTTTAATCTTTTTAGCATATTTTTTAAGAATTGCAGTATTCAAAAACATCAAAGATATCTTTTGGATTTTTTGTACCACCTGAATCTTTCTTGAATTTCTTTATATCTTTTTTGAATTGTTCTGAATCACTTTAATCTTTTCAGGGCATTTTTTAAGAATTATAAGATTCATAAAGTTTAAAGGAATCTTTTTTGAAATATTTTTTATTGTTCTGAATCACTTTCAACTTGGTAGGGCATTTTTAAGAATTACAAGAGTTAAAAGGTTCATAAAATCTTTTTTGAATTTTTTCAACCACCTAAATCTTTCTTGAATTTTTTAAATCTTTTTTGATCTTTTTAGCGTATTTTTAATTACAAGATTCAAAAAGGTTAAAAAGAAATCTTTTTTGCATTTTTTGAACCACCTGAATCTTTCTTGAATTTTTAAAATATTTTTTGAACTTTTTGGATTTTTTGAACCACCTGAATCTTTATTGAATTTTTTTAAATCTTTTTTGAATTGTGCATACCTTTTACATACGACAACCACTTTATCTCAAATTTTGCATGTGCTTGCCTTTAGGGGTGCTAATTTAAACTTTAGAAAATGGGTGGGAATGGGTAAACACATGTTCTACCCTTCATGGTATTCTAATGAAAGGTCTCATCGAAATAAATTGGTTTGTACAAACTAGAACTTTCCCGTGCGACTCTTTTTCGAGATCAGTGAGCGAAGGGGCCTGGGGGGGGGGGGGGGTAAAAATTAATTTTCTCCCATTGTATTCTAATTGAAGAACGAAATGAACCGTTTTCTACCAACTACTGTCCTTCTTTCTGCCTCTTATCAAAGTACCGTGGAGAGGGCGAAGGGGGGGGGGGGTGGAACTAGTTTTATCCTTCATGGTACTCTAATGAAAGGTCTCAACGAAAGGAATTAATTTCTACCAACCATAGCCCTCCTCCTCGACCTCTTATTGTGATCGGGTATATTCCCTTGTACCTCAAGCACGAATTGTCGGAAGAGGGTAGTCACAAAGGGCGATTGAGACGTCTGCAAGAAATGTATTCATTGGGGATGTCAAAACAAGAGCTATTTCGGTTTAAAAAAAATGCGCTTTATTTGCACAAGGGTTGTGTACAATCTATACTTGTTTTAATTGTTCTGAATCATTTTCAGCTTTGTAGGGCATTTTTTAAGAATTACAAGATTCAAAAGGGTTCAAGAAATCTTTTTTGGATTTTTTCAACCACCTGAATCTTTATTGAATTTTTTTAAATCTTTTTTGAATTGTTCTGAATCACTTTAATCTTTTTAGCGTATTTTTTAAGAATTGCAGTAATCAAAAAGATTAAAGATGTCTTTTGGATTTTTTGAACCACCTGAATTTTTCTTGAATTCTTTAAAATTTTTTGAACTTTTGTGAACTGTTCTGAATCACTTTAATCTTTTCAGCGCATTTTTTAAGAATTATAAGATTCAAAAAGGTTAAAGAAATTTTATTTTGAACCTTTTTAGCATTGGAAATGCTTATGTTTTGTATGGGTATGAATTTACTAGGTTTACCGTACTCGACTGCAATCGGTAGATTCAGGAAAAGTCGCGGATACTGTCGATACGGTACTTACTTAACAGTGCTTAGGGGTTTTGTTAATTCGAATTTAAAATTCTCGCACATCGCCCGTGATAGTATTACAAGCATGTAATGCCGCTTATTATTGAGAAAGTTTGTGACACGAGCGAGCTTGCGAGCGAGTGGAGCAAGATTATTCCGTGTGAATAAGGGTTATTTATGGCTTTATAGGTTATACGGTTATCATTTCCAATGTCTCCGATGGTTGCAAGGATTGTGAAATCTGTGAATTTTTAATTGTTCTGAATCACTTTCAATTTTGTAGGGCATTTTTTAAGAATTACAAGAGTCAAAAAGGTTCAAAAAATCTTTTTTAGATTTTTTCAACCACCTGAATCTTTCTTGAATTTTTTATACCTTTTTTGACCTTTTTTGAATGGGTCATTAATCTTTTTAGCGCATTTTTAAGAACTACAAGGTTCAAAAAGTGTAGTAAAGAATTTTTTATCTTTTGAGCCACTTGAATCATTCTTGATTTTTTTTAAATCTTTTTTTGAACTTTTTTGAATTGTTTTGAATCACTTTCATCTTTTAGCGCATTATCTAAGAATTACAAGATTCAAAAAGGTTAAAGAAATATTTTGTTGGATTTTTTGAACTACCTGATTCTTGAATTCTTTAAATCTTTTTTGAACTTTTTTGAATTGTTCTGAATCACTTTAATGTTTTCAGCGCATTTTTTAAGAACTATAATATTCAAAAAGGTTAAAGCAATCTTTTTTGAACTTTTTTTAATTGTTCTGAATCACTTTCAACTTTGTAGGGCATTTTTAAAGAATTACAAGAGTCAAAGAGGTTCAAAAAATCTTTTTTAGATTTTTTCAACCACTTGAATCTTCCTTGAATTTTTTTAAATCTTTTTTGACCTTTTTTGAATCGTTCTTTAATCTTTTTAGCGCATTTTTAAGAACTACAAGATTCAAAAAGTGTAAAGAAATCTTTTTTGGATTTTTTGATCCACCTGAATCATTCTTGAATTGTTTTAAATCTTTTTTTTAACTTTTTTGAATTGTATTGAATCACTTTCATCTTTTTAGCGCATTATCTAAGAATTACAGGATTCAAAAAGGTTAAAGAAATCTTTTTTGGATTTTTTGAATTGTTCTGAATCACTTTAATCTTTTTAGCGCAAGAATTAAACAAATGTTTTGTCTACCCGTCCGTGCGTGTGTCCGTCCGTTCGAACCCACTTCCAAGAGTTTGAACTACTTTTAGGGGAATAGTCCTAGAGTCCTGGATTTTTTTTTGCAATAGTTAAGCGTACGACACTCGCCCCCAGATGAAGCACCCTGTAAATAAACAGTAGCATATCCATGCAAAAGAAAGGAAATATGCTGCAAGAAATTTAATTATAAATTAACAATGTAGTGTCGATGTTTCCAAATACAGCACCATCCACGAATCGCTACAAATTTTATCACATCGTTTAATTCTCCACACTTGTATCTCTGGGACCTTAATTAAGGGTTATGATTAGCGTAATTATAAAAGAGTAAGGTCAAAAAATAATTCGCCTGACGAACTGTGGCAACCACCACAGTAACTATTCGAAACAATACCACAACTGCAATTAACTGAAGCACTCGGAAAGTCTCCCATCAAATTCCCTTTTTTTGTCAAAAAATTATGGCCCATTTGAATGTTGAGCAGAGAAGAAAAAACACGTGTGCCACGGAAACGAAACAAAGTGCAACCTGTGAATACTTTCGTGGCGGCTTCGGGAATATTTAAATCGAAATTTAGCCGGCCAGTTCGGTTCCATTACAGTTACAATCCAAGGGTGCTTAGTTAGCGCTTAATATTTAAAAAAAAATCATTTATGCAGAAGCAAATTGGCACTTAAGAATTTTCGAGTCCTGGTTGAAAAAAAGGTCGTAGCCACTTGAATTCATCTCGCTCTAAATTACATTTGAGTTTGACATTCTAATCTCAAAAATAAAACAAGTATAAATTGTGCACAACTCTCAGATAAAGCGAATTTTTTAAACCGAAATATTTCTTGCAGACGTTTCAATCGCCCTTTGTGAGTACCCTCTTCCGACAATCCGTTCTTGAGGTATAACGGAATATGCCCAATCACGATAAGAGGCCGAGGAGGGGGGCTATGGTTGGTAAAAATTAATTCCTTTCGTTAAGACCTTTCATTAGAGTACCATGAAGGACAAAACTAGTTCCAATCTCCCCCCCCCCTCCCTTCTCCTTCCAGGACTCTAGGACCATTCATCTAATACACACACATACGTTAAAGGTCAAGGTAGGTCCTAGCGATCGATAATGACAAATTGATATTTGTGACATATAAATTTCTGTTTGGGGAGTTCGAAAGGTAATCACAAAGTAGAATACTTTCGTTGGGAACATAAAATGTATGCGTAAGTACAGTGCTTCTATGTTTTTCAAATAGTATTGCGTTAGAAACCGATAGAAGTGCCACGTAGATACAAGCAGAATGATGCCCAATGTTTTGTTTTGCGCTTTGTTTGCGTGTTTACTGCATTCAACGAAAAATGAGCAATTTGATATCAGCGACACATCCTGGCAGGTATATACCGAAAAGATAATTGAGAAGATTTTTAATAAAGAAACTGTTTACTTCATCTTCAACGAAAACAGTCATTATCTACTACCGCTTTACATAAACAATGCAAGAATTGTCATTGACACCAATCATCGATTTCAGTACAACGCCCGTCCATATGTTTTTGACAATTACGTGATTGAAATTGATAATATTGTTTCGTTTGGGAGAACCATGGATTATTTAGCACGGTGGGTCTCTTCCATTGAAGGTAGTTACCCCATCGGCAGATTTCTCGTAGTAATCGACCAAATACACCTAGCAGAGGCGGTATTTATTCAGTTCTGGAAATTGGGCATTATCTATTTTGCGATCTTAGCCATTGATAGAAACTATAGTGAAAAGTCGATCTTATTGACGGCAAACCCTCACGAACCGTCGAATAACTGCGGAAACGCTCCGATCGTAATGTATCAGCAAAGTTGCGGCCAGTCGATCGTGGACACCATCCCTAAACCTTTCAGAAACTTTAATGGATGCCCTGCGATACTTAATACCGTTGTCACACCGGTCCACGAATTTGATCGAAGGAGTTATACTATGAATGTTGTATCCGAAATGTTAAACGTTACGTTAAAACACGACTACTCGGAGGATATGTTAGATGAAACTGATGGGATTGTATTCGGCGACTTCTTTTTAACGCTTAGCTCTTTTCATTGCGCACGTTTGAGCCACACATATGCGAGAGATACTTGTGTATGGATTGTGCCACCAGTGGATAAGATGTCTGGAATGAGGGTTTTGGTCATAACTCTCGAGATAGAAGTTTGGATATTAGTCGTTGTGGCCTTTGTATTATTTGTTTTGTCGTGGTACGTTCTCAACAAATTTAAGAAGAGCATGGGTAGCATCGTTTTGGAAACCGTCAGTCTTACGCTGTTTAGCAGCACCAATCACATCCCAAAATCTACGATGGTAAGATTCTTAATCATGTGCTATATCATATACAGTATACACATACAGACAGCGTACGTTTCAAACTTAATGCGTCTATTAGCATCACCACCAAGTGGGAAACCAATCCAGGGCATAGACGAACTGCTGAAAAGTAACTTGCCCATTTGTATGGATAACGTTTCTCAGGTGATCTATTTCATAGCCGGATACGATACTAAAGACCATCCACATGAAATATATGATAATCTGTACAACGGCGTAAAACAGTGCCCTTACGAGGGTGACGCCCAAACTATGCTAGCACTGTGGTCGGTATATCGAAATTTTTCACTGCTTATGTCCCATGAGACCTTGCATTCCCTGGATTTACGCTTACGAATACGCACCCCAAGTTACTTCACTGACGGTATGGTCTTACAGCCTCTTAGGCGCGTCTTGTTCACTAACAAGGCCCACTACTTCATTGACAGCTTGAACACCATCATCGATAGACTGACGGAGAGTGGACTGTACGAGAAGCTCGATAGGGATAGACAGTTGGACGCGGCCGCCAAAAGGAGGGAGTTTATTCCTGCGGACGAAATGGTGAAGTTATCTTTTGAGCATCTCAGCTGCGTTCTACTCATTTACTGTTTTGGGGTGTTGTTGTCTGTAATTGTGTTCATTGTGGAAGTGATTGTGTATCGTTTTAAATAGTGATTCATTATTTATTGCTAAACATGATGTAAAATTCGAGTACTCAACACTAGAAGATTCTTGATAACTGCGTTAGCTAGTAAGTCATTTGTTTTACGCTTGATGAGTAATTTTATCCAACTTTTTTGTATATGTAGATGTTACTAACTAATATGGAGCAAAGCGGTCACAGTATATTTAGATGTTATTAATCCATAAGTGCAGCAAATTGTTGTATCCTTTTCGACAAGCACAATCTCACTATTGAGGATGTATTTATGTTTATAACGTATCTGAATAAACGGCGATAAGCGATAACAAACTTCTGAATTACGAAATCAATGTAACAGAAAGACATTGAATACGCGGTTCAGACACGGATACAACTACGTGTATTCAAAGTCTCCGGTACGGAAAGAGTAACAAGAAAGCAATCATTTAAACAAACTGGTGCTATCATACAGCGCAATATCAAGATTTCAAAAAGTCAGATTCATCATTATAGTTTTATTGTCAGGGACACTTTACACTTGTTATTTCGATAAGACATATAAAATCTTCGTTCACTTCGTTGCATATTGCACTCATCAAATTGAAATATATTTCCTCCACATTGATAGATAAGTGTATAGAGTCGATCCAAAATTGCATCTAGAATTACACAACATCTGGTTAATCGCCATAAAATAATAATAATAATTCAAACTCTTGCAATTCACCATCATTGTATATTTGGCTACACTTAAAACGTGGCGACGAACAAGTACTCACAAGTAAGAAGGAAGGAAGTGAAGAAGTAAAATTGCTTTTAAAAATGCACCAATAAAAATTCTTCGAGCACGAAACCGGGTACAATTGAAAAATGCAGTGATCTTTCAACAATTTAGAGTTTAAATGTACATGAGAAAATCAAAATGTTTTTTGATAGTTTATAAAAAATTAGAACAAGATTGAAAAAGGTTAAAAGAAACCTTTCTTGAATTTTTTGAATCACTAATCTTTTTAGCGCATTTTTAAGAATTACAAGACTAAAAAGGTGTTGAATTTTTTTGGACCACCTCAATCTTTCTTGAATTTTTAAAACCTTTTTTGAACTTTTTTGAATTGTTCTTTAACCTTTTTGGCGCATTTTTAAGAAGCACAAGACTCAAAAAGGCTAAAGAAATCTTTTTTGGATTTTTGAACCACCTGAATCTTTCCTGAATTTATTAAAATCTTTTTTGAACTTTATCTTTTCAGCGCATTTCTAAGATTCAAAGAGGTTAATGAAATATTTTTTGGATTTTGTGGACCACCTGAATCTTTCTTTTTAAGACTGAACATTCTTGAATTTTTTTAAATCTTTTAACTTTTTTGAATTGTTTTAAATCACTTTAATCTGTTTAGCGCATTTTCTAATTACAAGATTCAAAAAGGTTAAAGAAATTTTTTGGATTTTTTTGAACCACCTGAATCTTTATTGAATTTTTTTAAACCTTTTTTGAAGTGTTTTTAATTGTTCTGAATCACTGTACTCTTTTTCGCGCATTTAAAAATTGTAAGATTCAAAAAGGTTGAAGAAATCTTTTTGGATTTATTGAACCACCTGAATCTTTCCTGAACTTTTTTTTAATTGTTGAATCACTTTAATGTAAGGCATTTTTTTTAATAATTACAAGATTCAAAAAGGTTCAAGAAATCTTTTTTGGATTTTTTGAATCAGTTGAATCTTTCATGAATTTTTAAAATCGTTTTTGAGTTGTTCTAATTCACTTGAATCTTTTTAGATTTTGAGAATTGCAAGACTTAAAAAGGTTAAAGAAATCTTTTTTGGATTTTTGAACCACCTGAATTTTTTTTAATCTTTTTCTGTATCACTTTTTAACCTTTTCAGCTTTGTTTTGAATCACTTTAATCTTTGTAAGGCATTTTTTTAAATAATTACAAGATTCAAAAAGGTTCAAGAAATCTTTTTTGGATTTTTTGAATCAGTTGAATCTTTCATGAATTTTTAAAATCGTTTTTGAATTGTTCTAATTCACTTGAATCTTTTTAGATTTTGAGAATTGCAAGACTTAAAAAGGTTAAAGAAATCTTTTTTGGATTTTTGAACCACCTGAATTTTTTTAAATCTTTTTCTGTATCACTTTAACCTTTTCAGCGCATTTTTAATAATTACAAGATTCAAAAAGGTTGAAGAAATATTTTTGGATTTATTGAACACCTCGATCTTTCCTGAACTTTTTTAAATTGTTCTGAATCACTTTAATTTTTGTAATGCATTTTTTAAAAGAATTATTAGATTCAAAAAGTTTCATGATATCTTTCTTGGATTTATTTTTTGAACCACCTGAATCTGTCTTGAATGTTTAAAAAAAATTTTTGACTTTTTCAATCACTTTAATCTTTTCAGCGCATTTTTAAGAATTTCAAGATTCAAAAAGGTTAAAGAAATCTTTTTTGGATTTTTTGAACCACCTGAATCTTGAACTTTTTAAAATCTTTTTGAACTTTTTGAATTGTTCTGAATCACTTTAATATTTTTGGAGCATTTTTTAAGAATTGCAAGATTCAAAAAGGTTACAGAAATATTTGTAGGATTTTTTTGGACCACCTTAATCTTTCTTGAATTTTTTAAAATATTTATTGAACTTTCTTGATTTGTTCTGGATCAGTTTAATCTTTTTCGCTCATTTAAGAATTATAAGATTCAAAAAGGTTAAAAAAATCTTTTTTAGATTTTTTGAACCATCTGAATCTTTCTTGAATTTTTAAAATCTTTTTTGACAATTTTTTTGAATTGTTTCTAAATCGCTTTAGCTTTTTCAGCGCATTTTTAACAATTACAAGATTCAAAAAGGTTATAGAAATATTGGACCACCTGAATCTTCCTGACTTTTTAAAAATCCTTTTTGAATGTTTTTGAATTGTTCTGAATCACTTTAATCTTTTCAGCGCATTTTTAAGAATTGCAAGAAGCCAAAAGGTTAAAGAAATCGGTTTTGGATTTTTTCAACCACCTGAATCTTGCTTGAATTTTTAAAAATCTTTTTTGAATTGTTTTTCAATATTTTAGCGCATTTTTAAGAATTACAAGATTCAAAAATGTTACAGAAATCTTTTTTCGATTTTTGAACCTCCTGAATCTTTCCTGAATTTTTTAAATCGTTTTTGAAATTTTTCCAATTGTTCTGAATCGTTATAATTTTTTTAGCGCATTTTTTTTAAAGAATTACAGTATTCAAAAATGTTACAAAATCTTTTTTGTATTATTTTAACTAGCTGAATCATTCTTGATTTTTTAAAAATCTTTTTTGAACTTCTTTGAATTGTTTTGAATCACTTTAATCTTTTTAGCGCATTTTTTAAGCATTGCAAGTCTTAAAAAGGTTAAAGAAATCGTTTTTGGATTTTTTCAACCACATGAATCTTGCTTGAATTTTTTAAAATCTTTTTTGAATTTTTTTAAATTGTTCTTTAATATTTTTAGCGCATTTTTAAGAACTACAAGGTCAAAAAGTTGAAAGAAATCTTTTTTGGATTTTTTGAACCACCTGAATCTTTTCTGATTTTTTAAAATCGTTTTTGAACTTTTTCCAATTTATTGTTCTGAATCACTTTAATCTTTTCAGGGCATTTTTTTTTTAATTATAAGGTTCAGAAAGGTTAAAGAGATATTTTTTGTATTGTTTTAACCACCTGAATCACTTGAATTTTTTAAACTCTTTTTTGAACTTTTTTGAATTACCTTAATTATTTTAGCGTATTTTTTAAGATTTACAAGATTCAAAAAGCCACAAGAAATCTTCTTTTTTTGATTTTTTCAACCTCCTGAATCTTGCTTGAATTTTTTAAATCGTTTTTGAAATTTTTCCAATTGTTCTGAATCGTTATAATCTTTTTAGCGCAATTTTTTAAAAGATTTACAGTATTCAAAAAGGTTACAGAAATATTTTTTGTATTACTAGCTGAATCTTTCTTGATTTTTTAAAAATCTTTTTTGAACTTTTTTGAATTGTTCTAAATCACCTTAAACTTTTCAGCGCATTTTTAAGAATTACAAGATTCAAAAAAGTTAAAGTAACATTTTTTGAATTTTTTGGACCACCTGAATCTTGAATTTTTTTTAATCTTTTTTGAATTTTTTTAATTGTTCTGAATCACTAATCTTTTTATCGTATTTTTTAAGAATTACAAGACTTACAAAAAGGGTAAAGAAATTTTTTTGGATTTTTTGAATTGTTCTGATTCACTTTAATCTTTTTAGCGCAAAATTTAAAAAAAATGTTTTGTCCGTCCTACCGTGCGTGTGTCCGTCCGTCCGGACCCACTTCTAAGGTTTTGAACTACTTTTAGGGGAATGGGAATTTTTTGTAATACTTAGCCTATACTTTGAAGGTGTACCAGACGGCCATCATATTTAGTTATCTAACCCCCCCCCCTCCTGAATTATTTCCTGAGATGCTGTCTTTGGAAGTAAAACGTGCATAACTTTTGCATACGACAATCAATTGATCTCAGATTTTGCATACGCATGACTTTAGCGGGGTCAAGTAAAACTCTTGAAATTGGGGGAGGGGGTGGGGCACATGTTATATATAGCCTTTATTATTCTAATGAAAGATCTCATCGAAACGAATTGGTCTCTACAAACTATCTTAACTATATAATATGCACGACTACTTTTTGAGTTAGTGGGTAACGAGTTGGGAAGTTTGGGGGGTGAGGGGGTGGGGGAGAAATTGATTTTATCTTTCATGGTATTCTAATGAAAGGTCTCAATTTCTACCAATCAAGTGCGATATCGTGTCACTTCTATTGAAGACAGTTACCCCATCGGCGGATTTCTCGTTGTAATCGACCGAGTACAGCTAGCGGAGATGATTTCTGTTCAGTTGTGGAACTTAGGCGTTATCTACTTTGCGGTCTTGGCGATTGATAGAAACAGTAGTAAAAAGTCGATCTTATTGACGGCAAACCCACACGAAACCTGGAATAACTGCGGAAACGCTCCGATCTTAATGCATCGGCAAAGTTGCGGACACCATCCCTAAACCCTTAAGAAACTTTAATGGATGCCCTGCAAAGGTACTTAGTACTATGAGCGCACTGGCCAACGAATTTGGTCGAAGGATATTTATTAAAGGGCCAATACTACTAC